CCCCTTAAATAACTGAAGACAGTTATCATATGTCCCTCCAGGCTAAATAACTGGAATTTTCTCAACCCTTTCTGTTAGGACATGATTCTGAGTCCCTAGAACCATCTGGGCAACTTTCTCTGCATGTACTCTGGTTGGAGTATTTCTCTAACCTTGTTCAATCAGGGCGATATTAAACTATTTTCACTCTTTATACTTCTACCATCATAATGCATTTTTGGCTCCAGGTACAGGATTTCACATCTATTTCTCTTCTTCGTATGTCAGCTTGTTGGATTTGAACTACTGTTCCAATTTGAGATTTTGGGGAATCTTGTTCATGTCACCCAAACTTTCATTGATCTCTCTGCATCAGACAATCACAACTTGATTCCTAAGTCAATTTCAAATAAAGTTAAGTCACAAATAAAAATGGTGACAAACCTGAAGTACGAACCTGAGGCATTAAACCAAAGATCATTATCCCATTCAAAATGTTTATTTCTGAAACATTTCAAACCCCCAGAAATTACATCATAATGTATAAAATATTCTATGGGCTCATCCCTAGGATGAAATGGATATGTCCCTTTTTTTTTTTCCAGAACTGGGGATTGATCTCAGGTCCTTGTACTTGCCAGGGAAGCGTTCTTTCTACTGAGTCATCTCCCTGGCCTGGCTATCTCCTTGTTGTCAAGTATTTTTCATTAAATATATTTTGCAAACGATGAAATACGTGTCTAAAAAGTATCCAGGGAGTCCTGCATCTGGAAACTTTGGGACAGAAAGCAACTCAGAATTCTCATACTCATGTGTGGGTTTGGCTCTCCGCAGTCAGCAAGAGGCCTCCCAACACCTGCTAACTCCCTGCCTTTTGTGCCAGGTGACTTGACCTTCCTTCACATGGTACTGAAAACCCAAACCAAATAATCTGAATGCCGAGAAAACAGGACCTAAGAAATATGAATCTCTTGAGAATTCTGCCCAACGTTCCATCGAAAGTAATTTTCCAAGTCAATTTGAACTAAGAGAATATGGAACACAATCCAGTTTATGACTCGATCTTATTGTCCCCTTAGATAGCGAGTTCTAGTTAGAGGACCAAACAAAGGTATTACCTGGAAGAACATGATGCCATTTGAAACAATATGGTTGTAGACCTCTCAACAGACACATTCCACAACAATTTCTACCAAAATATTTTATTACTACTAGAAAGTTTTGATAAGTTCCAGATTTGTTCTTAAATCATGAATCAATTGATGCCATTTCAATTATATAAAAAACTTGCTCTTGCAAGGATACTACAATTTTACTCAGATCTTCACGTACTGGAGCTACTCAATCGAAGCTAGTCATAATTAACAAATACACCCACTGAAAACATGTTGCAATGTCACCTCTGCAATTCTTTAAAACATGAACAGAAATGCCATAAATTGAGAATGTGAAACTTAAATATTCAGAAGCTGGGATATATTCAAAACATTGAAAAAAATATTAGCATTTTGAGCTTATTAGTTTAGAATCTTAAGGAGTTTTAACATTCCTGGAGAAATAAGAAATCCTAGAAGATGGTCATGAAAGAATTCTTAGACAGAAAATACTATGCATTTAACTTTCAATAAAGGATGAAAAAACAGTAATTCTTTATTCATAATGAGAGTCAAGGCATTAGGTAACTTTTGCTTTAGACTAAGTATGTCTCACATAGGACAAGTTAAGCCATAAAAATTAACAACAGTAGCTAACTGCACCCAGTGATCATGAATAGCTGTAATTATTCTGGTTACACCTGAGAACTCAGGCTTCCCCACAGTCTCCTAGGGTTTTGCATGAGGCACATGTGTTTTAAAAATATGCCTGCTACTCTATGATTAAGAATGAAAATAGTTGTTCTGTTCTTCATAAAGTGTATATGAACACAGAATTAGATGAAGACAGATTCATGGATTTTATGGAGCGTTTATTGGGAAATTATCTTTACTCAGAACATATCTTCCACATCATTATAATTTGAAGGAAAAATTATCTTTATGCCTCCTACCATTTTTCTTTGTATTTAGCTAGATATCA